ATCGCTGCCTCTTTATTTATACCTTTTTGTTTGGTGGTCTGGTCTGCCTGGTCCCAGGCCCTTGAACATGCAGGCCCACTCTGGTACTTGCTGGAAAAACGGACTGGACTGGGACTGCCCTTTCGTTTGCCCCTTCGGTGTTTGACTTGGGACTCTTAACCTTTCAGAGATTGACGGACTGCCCTTTCAGTCTGCGAGAGGTCAACTTGACTCTTCGAGGACTGTCCTAGCCACAACCTAGTGACCTTTCGGAGGACTTACAGACGACCCTTAGGACTCCTAAACATCTAACCTACAGATAGAGTCCACACGACCCAAGCTGCACACACAAAACATTTGTACACGGTTTTCGGGACAGGTCGTGGGCTCAAAACACACAGGGTCAACGGACAACTGCACAATGGGCTAGGGGAGGTCTGGGGATTGAGTCCTCGTATCTGCAAATGTTGCGCGAACTGAGTGAAACCCTTTCAGATGCCTGTTTGTAGTACATTTATATGAGCTTCGGGGTTGCAAAATCGTTGTCCTTCGTAGGATTTTGTCGAATGGTGTTCAACGTGCAGGAGTGGCCTTACACATTGTTGAGTACGAGGTCACATTTCAGGAGTTGGCTGTTAGCCTGATCTGACCGTCTTCAGGATTTCACGTAATTCTTTTGTTTGTGACTCTATGACAATCAATTGTTTATGGATTTGTCGGGTGTTTTAGAATATCCTCACGATTGTGGAATTGTTATGAACTTGGTTGTTTGACAATTTGATTGCCACTCACACACAGAAGAACTCACACACGCCCATACATGCATGAGACAGGGGAGGAAGAGACAGAGTCCACCTGCACACAGACCAGAGATAAACAGCGGAATAACAACCATGCACAGACGGGGAGAATACACAGTGTTCTCTATCTCTGATGAACTCCCAACAACCAATCACAGGATGACACTGCGAAGATCACAATTGGAAAGTAACCCAGATGATGAGCCAACTCAACACACTTAACCTCAATTATCGTAACAGAGTTCAACCCAGTATCTCGCCACTCAAGAACCACACACTCCACTCACTACTACACTCTCAGAGTCTAGCGCTGCACAGAAACAGCCTCCTACAGGCCAGTGCTATACACCCAGATGCAGATCATGAACAGCGAAGTAGTCTCCAGTGCCGATAAGTCACTCTGATGATGAAGAAGGCAGCTATGGCTGCCTAGCTGCTACCGTAGCAGCAGTACCCACATGTACTCAGTGAAGACCCTCCGATAGTCCTGCCAAACGCAGATATCCCCTGGGGATAGATGCGCTGAGCACAGCCCCAGCTATGGCTGTCTCAGGTAGGCCGGCTATGGCCGCTTCACGCAGCTGATGTCGCAGGACATTCAGCGCTGTTAAACTTGGTTGGCCACGAACGCTGCAACGCGAAAATGAAGAGCCCCCCAAAAGTCCTCAACCTACTCGGCCTGTCCTATTTCTAGATTCTACCCTAGACCTACTGGACCGAAACTGCTCTACCGGTACCGTTTCGACTTAGGGCCTCTAGGCCCTTCCCAGCTACGGGCTCTACCCACTGTAGGCCCTTAGGGCCTTTATGACGTCGGGGAAGACTGGGCCTGCATTCGCAGGGCCGGAGCCGGTCTATTTTTAGAACAGCATATAGGCCTCAGTGTGACCCAAAACTCTGCACGCACACACACAACAATGCACGCTGCAAAACACAACAGGCACACACAACAGGGTACAACCTCGCCGTTAGTCACGGCAGCAGAAATCAGCACGTCATCGCACCTCAATGCGTTAAAAAAAACACAGCAACCGCACAGACAACAAAACACAGAAAACACAAAATCACGAATCTAACCTACGACGTGACCAGACCGAGGCAAGCCCCAGGCTTCGCCCTCAGACTAATGTACAGTCCACTGAGAATCTGCAGGTTTCATAACAGGAATGGTCGTTTTGAAGATTGCGAAGCGGTCCTTCAGATTTACTGAAATGATGTTCAGAATGCAAGAGTGCGTTTTGTGTCTTGAGGAGGATGAGATCGTCTGTCAAATGTGGGATGGGAATGGTCGAGTGCCCTTTTCTTCTCAAGTACAAGATCAGTGTCTTCACGATAGCAGAATGATGAGATGGTCTGTCAGACGTGGGATGTTCTTAGCCTCGTCGGGATGGTTGAGTGCCCTTTGATCATCTGTCTTCACGATAGCAGAAGGACGAGATCGTCTGTCAGACATGGGATGTTCTTAGCCTGATCTGACGGTCGTCGGGATGGATGAGTGCCCTTTGCTTCTTGAGCAGAACGATCATTAGGGAGGATCGAAAATTGAAAAAAAAGAAGAAAAGGGCAAAAAAGAAGAAAGGATTGCAAATTGACCCTGGAGATTTACAGAAATGATGATGTTCAGCTTGCATGAGTTGTCCTTCGCATTCCAGAATATGAGGTCGTCTGTCACATGAGGTTGTCTCGAATAACACGTAATGAAGTTCAAAGTCTACGAGTGCCCTCCTTTTCTCCCATTTTTGCTGTCAAGGAAAGGTCAAGCATGCTGACACATTCTAACGTAAACAACCCCATAGAAGTCCTCAGGGAGATAGGAGCCGCTTTTGCCCCTTGAAAAGAAAAAGGGACTGGATAAAAGGGTTGGGGGGTCTCGTTGCCGCTGCAAGACAGTCAGTCTGGCAAAGGAGGGATGTTCATCTTGCCTCACTACTGCATCCTTGAGAAAATATAGGGGGCGAAACAGGAAACACCCAAGCACACGCTTCTTGTTGGGTGTCTACACACTCCGGGCAGATGAGTCTGGAGCATACTTGCGGCGCACCGCGGTGCGCGCCTCAGCGCACGAGTTGCGCACGCAGCGCCCTGCACTGCGCCCCGCACCCGGTGCGGCGCACCCAAATAAATAGGGTCGCAAAAAAAAAAAAAACGGGGGGTGGGGTTCGAGTACGGTGCCCCCTCGGCCTCCCAAAATTGAAAAAGAGGCCGCGCCGGCTTCGAAACCGGCCCCGCCCGCGGCCCGAAGTTTTTTTTTGGGGGGAAAGGTCTGCAAATTCGAATTCTGCAGGCCTTCCCCCCAAAAAACAAACACTTCGGGCCACGGGCGGGGCCGGTTTCGAAGTCGGCGCTGCCCATTCGTGTGCAGGTTCGTGACGGCCKACCGACGACGACGAGGGAGGGAGGAGCCGACGAGGACGACGACGGGGGGAGGGCCACTTCTTCAGGGAAGGAGGGAGGACGACGACAAGGGAAGAAGGGACGACAACGACGAGGGGAGACGACGACGAACGACGACGAGGACGGCGAAGGATGGACGAGGGACGTCATTGGAAGGAAGACTAGGGTCGACAAAGGAGGAAGGAAGGACCAGGGAGGACGACGACGAGGAGGGAAGAGGGAGGAAAGAGGAGGGAGGACGGAGGAGGGAGGGTCCAGAAAGCTAGGGCAGGAGGAGGCGGAAGGAGACGGCCTTCGGAGGCAGCGGCAGCGGCAGCGGCAGCGGCAGCAGTCAGTGGCGGGTGGTCGCGGCAGGAGGCAGCGAGTAACCATGGCTGTGGGTACCACCAGCTCTCTCTCTCTCTCCCTCCATATCCTCCTAATCCTCCACTTCTCTCCTCATATCGTCCTCGTGCCCGTCGTTGTCGTCGTCCTCCTCCTCCTCCTCCTCCTTCCTCCTCGTCCTCTAACGTGAACATGCCACGTGGCACTTTTATTTTTTGTTTTGCCTAAGCAGCTACTTCTCCTCTTCCTCCTCCTCCTCCTCCTCCTCTTCTTCCTTCTCCTCCTCCTCTTCCTCCTCATCTGCTTCATCCATATCTCCCTCCTCCTCCTCCTCCTCCTCCTCCTCCTCCTCCCCATCTTCTTCCCCCTCCTCCTCTTCATCTTCTTCCTCCTCCTCCTCCTCCTCCTCCTCCTCCTCCTCTAATGTTAAAGTGCGGCGAGGCACGCTTTTTGTTCGGGCAGTTCTCCTCCTTCTCCGCCTCCTCCTGCTACTCATCTTTTGCTGTTTCTTCCTCCTCCTCCTCCTCCTCCTCCTCCTCCTCCTCCTCATC